TTGTCAAATATGTCTTCCAGGCTGTCTAGGCTGCTTCTCAGATTGCCTGCTCTGAGACTGATGAGTGCTGCTATAACAGAAGAACTGTTTTTCGCAGGACTAATTGGAAATGTTCAGATTGACAGCATCATACCATATATTCTAAGAATGGAGACTGCAGACTACAATTCTCAAATAATTGGTCATGCTGTATAAAAGTTAAAACCACGGATTCTATACCATGGCAATCATGGTAATTGTAAATGTACACTATCTCCAAGAGATAACAAGTTTTTCTGTGCAATTTTAACAAGAAAAATACAAGAAGGTGCAGCTTCCTCATTACCAACACATTCTGGAAACGCAGTAGACTATCTTGACTGGTGCAGGATGATTTACCTTTTATCTGGTTTTCAAGAACTTTGTATATTGCTTTAGAATCTAATGAAAATCAAGAAGAGTAGTTCATCCTATTTTTGTAGTTTAGCTATACCTGGAACATGACTATAACAAATTCTAAAAAATGTAGAAAAACAAGCCTTTGATAATGGAGAAACTTCATCAAGGCATTTCCATGTGATACTTTAGAAACAAAAAATAAACGTTCTTCCCAATGCTGTATTTTCAGTATCTTGTTTCTACAAATTCATTCTTGTCCGTTTGATGTAAGTCTGAAATCCTGAACAAGGCAACTTATTTCTGATGTGACTGAGGGTTGCATCCCATGTTAGTCATACTCAGAGTAGATCCGCTGAAATGAATGGACATGACTAACTTCAATTTATTAATTTCAGAGAGTCTATTCTGAGTAGCCTAGGTGGACTGTAAACCCTGGACTACAAAGCTTTGGATATATTTCCAGTAGCTTTGGATGGAACTTAAACATTTTTATTAGCCAACTAGCATTTATTTAAATTGAAGATTAATTACAGAAAATCTGGAAAACTGGCTTGAAAGCCTATTTATTAGTGCCCCAAAGCAATGATTATATTTAGATTAACTTGAGTCACAAATAGTTGTTATGTTCAGAGTTATATCCGCTGCTAATATGATTTAGAAGTAAAAAAAATTCTAGATACCTTAAATGTATCAGATAAGTGTTGTGTGTTATTTCCTGAGTCCTGTTATTTTATTTACGTATGCAAATCAGTTCATCAGTGCCAACTAGGTCTTTTTAGTAATATTTGTGCCCGTACATCTAGCTAGGAAATTGATTGGTTATAAGCGTTAAGGTGCACATGAGCATATGAGCCATCTCACACAAACTTACCAGTCATATTGGAATTGGATTTCCTTTAGCAATCCTGTCTTTTCCTGAAAGTTGAAACAAGTTTCAAGTTCTCATAAAATTCAAATAAGACTAGAAAGAGTTTCTTAAACGTTCATAAGGAGATAAATAAACCTTGATGGAAAGTATGTGTTACCGAATAGAACTGTTTTTCCTACACTGTAGTGATCACAGAATCCTCAATTGCAGATTTTGTGTTTTCATATTGTGTTTGCTACTGAGTATCTTCAGCCTTTGAAAACTTTTCCAGATGCACTTTGTGATTCATTGAAGGCTACTTCTTTTTGAATTACGGTATAGAATAGTTAATCTAGCATAAACACAAAATATTCCTTTACTGTGTCAAGGATTGTCCATATAACTTTTTTTTTTTGGGTAAATCTTGTTTTCACCTTTATTTCATGTGTTAAGTATTGATCATACTGAATAATTAGAGACAGCTGCCTCTTCTTGTCAAACTGTGGTATTTACCAACAAATGAAATGGGCCTTCTGTAATCTGGACAGCGTTATTTTTATCAAGGTTTTAAAAAATGATTTAATAAAAAGAGGTACCTTTTTATATACTTCAGAATGAGTTGACCAACAATAATGTAGTGAACAGTTTAATTTCTCCCCAAAAAGATAAGCATGCTTATGCACTTGGGCACATGCAGGCTTATATCATACAATTGTAATAAATGATGTATTCCTGGGTACATCTTGTAGTTAAACAATTTATTGTTTTAAGTCTGTACAGATAAACTATATTACACATTTTCTGAATGCTTTCAATAAATTTGTTACAGCTAGTTCTTCTCCACTGTCACTGGAAATTGTTTCTGCATTTCATTCCACTTTTGTATACATAATTTTTTGTGGTTCAGTTTTTGTGTATGCATTAGAATGCCCCAATTACTATATTGTTGCTATATAATAAGTACTGTAAATGTCTTGAAACCTGAAGAAGTGTAAATTCTATTTTGGCTGTATTTTTAAAAATAAATTGTAACTTTTATCATAGAATGCTGTTATCTCTTTAATCTCCTTTTCAATTAAAAATCAACCTAGTTCATGTGAGCTTTATGTACATAGATGCACTGTTATCTACCATCCTTATTTTTTTTTAACATTTTGCAGCATTGTGGTAGAGTGAATTAAGTATTATTTTGGCTCAGATGCATTCACTTTGCTATTTTTAGTTAAGCTTTCCAGCCATTGCGTATCACTGATACGTTAATATCTGTGCTTTCCTTAATTTTTCTCTTGGTCCAAGTATGTACAAAAATTCAGGAACTTTTTTTTTTAAAATTTGAAAAGTACTACTGCATGTTCAGTATAGCAGAATTGAGTATCTTTGTTTACTGTACCAACATACTTTGGTAATACTAAAAAATTACAACAGATAAACCTTTTTTGTCAGGAGATATATCCAGCTTTGAAGAGGTTGCACGTTCAGATGATTAAAGGACTACTAGATGAGGATGAGTAAATTGCAGAGGTGTTGCAACTTGCCTTCTAGTGAGCAATAGTCTCTTGCCTTATAAAGACATGTCATGTTCAAGCCATATGGGCTTCTCAGAAACATCTGATGGGCCCCTGTGAGAAACAGGGTGCTCTTCCCTCCAACCATGGAAGCAAAGGATAGCCTTTAGCACCATGAATTTGTCTAATTTTCTTTTAATCCTCCCACAAGAAGTTAAGACACCATCCCTACTGAGTTTCAGATGGCTGGTCAAAACTCTTATTTCAGGGGACCTTTGCACCCTGAATGCTTCTCATATGTTTTACTTTTGTTTGTTAATTAGAGAATTTAAATTCTTGGAGTTTCAAATTCTGAAAGTTTAATTCATGTTTAGTGGTTAAGAGCGGTAGACTCGTAATCTGGGGAACCAGGTTTGCGTCTCGGCTCCTCCACATGCAGCTGCTGGGTGACCTTGGGCTAGTCACACTTCTTTGAAGTCTCTCAGCCCCACTCACCTCACAGAGTGTGTGTTGTGGGGGAGGAAGGGAAAGGAGAATGTTAGCCGCTTTGAGACTCCTTCGGGTAGTGATAAAGCGAGATATCAAATCCAAACTACTCCTCCTCATGTTCTATTTTATTGCTGTAAACCGATTTGAAACCTAAATGGCGAAAAGCGGGATATAACTTAAAAAAATAAAGCAAGCCATCCAGGTTGGTCGCCATCAATGCTTCCTGTACGGAGTGCATTCTGTACTTTATCTATATCCTGTGCGAAGTCCTTTCTTTTATCAGTCCTGACTGTTTCAGCGTTCAGCTCGGTTGAATGTTCACGAGAGGAGAAAAACTTTACACGCCTCTCATGTCACTTAGAGAGCAGGACTTCCACCTCCAGTGACTCAAGAATCGCATGGATCTGTCTTAGGCTTCCTTGCACCCCTTCAGCATGTCTATGTAGCATCTCCCCACCACAACTTGCAACCATCGCAACCCTTTCTCTTAGGTCAGGATATCTGTTGACACTGACATCAAAATACAGTGGGGGTTCCTCCCCCAAATCTTCTAAATCTGTGGTTCCCAACGTGGGGCACCCCCCCACACAGGGGGGCAATTTGATTTTTATGGGGAGCAATTCGAGAATGAGTTATTAACAGTTAATGGCCTTTTAGTCTTCTTCCAGGTGAATAAGAGTTCACTTTTTGAATAATAAGAATTATATGTCGGGGGGGGGGGAAGGCATCAGGATTTTAGAGATGTGTAGGTGGGGCATGGCCAAAAAAAGGTTGGGAACCAATGCTCTAAATAGTTATATTTGAACAGAAAGTCAAGGTTTGGACTCATTCGTGCCAGATTAGTATCTTGGAAAGTGTGAACACAGTCTATATCGTTGAAGTTAACTGTTTCATTTGGTCCCCCCCCCCTTTATTAAAGATTTCTTGGTTTATAAAAGTATGCGCAATGTCTCTTTTTTCAAATTACATTTTCTATAGATCAGTTTCATTTGTTGAGACATTACATTAGGAAGAAAGGTGGGAAAGAGGTGGGGGGGCATGGCGAGTGGGGGGTCATGTGGCAGTGCTTCTACTTAATTATGTGTGGGGTTTTGTGGTTTTGAATACACAGTCTGCAACGCAGAGTGTGTGTGTGTGTGTAGATAGATAGACAGATGTAGACAGTGCTTTTTTCTTTTAAAAAATGTTTAGGGGTACTCTCATTTTCCTACTTGAATTGAAATACTGCCCCACAATGAGGCCAAACTTTGATTCATAAAATGTTTAGCGGTATGTGCCCCCCTGTGTCCCCCAGACAAAAAGCAGTCACACACACACACATTTACCTGGGCGCAGGGGATTTAGGTTTGATGAGGTCCTAAGCTACTGAAGGTAATGGGGCCCTTTATATGGCCAGCTGTCCTTTGTCAACAACAAATTGTCGCTGTTTTTTGTGTTGAATATATGCTATATGGTAATTTATGGACCTAATAGGTATCTAAAGCTATTTGCACATAACAAAATATGTATTTTATCAAAGTTATTGTTGAACTGAAATACAATTAGGAAGTATATTAATAGTGAAATAATTATTAAGCTCTAACTTAAAATGATTTTTTTTATTCATAACAAACTTAATAATGCAAACACATTGGCATTTGGCAATAACAAAAGTTCCTTGAGAAACACAATTTACAAAAACTCAATTTTGGGGGAGCCCCCAAGAGAGTGGGGCCCTAAGCTATATAGTTTGCTTAGCTTATACGTAAATGCCTGGGAGCCATTCCCACTGAGCCCAGTAGGATGCACTTCTCAGTAAGCACAACGTACCGGCGATGAATTCCCTGAGAGCAAGCAACGGCCGCCTCCTTCCCACCTGCGGGGCTCCAGGCTCTCCCGCCTCCTCCTTCGCTAGTTGCATCTGCTTCCCTGGAACTGGAGTCGGAGGAGGAGGAGCCTCCTGCCGCGGCTGCGCAGACGCCGTCCTGCGGCGGAGCGAAGGAGGCGCCGGGCCTCTCTGGGCCTCCGGGAAGATGGCGGAGTACGTGCAGGTGATGAGGAGGGCGCTGCAGCAGCTCGGGGGTCACGGCGGCATTCGCGGAGCCGTGTTTCAGCTGCTGAGGTAAAAAATGGCTCGGCCCCTCCGCCGTGCGCGTCGGCTTGTGAGGGCAGGCTGGGAGAGAAGCGGCTGCTTGCGCTCGAGGGTCACCTTGGTAATGGGCAGGAGGAAGAGGAGGAGGTCGCTGTCTCTGGTTGGCGTGGAAATGGGTCTCCTCCGCTTCTCTAGACCTTCCCGGATCCCCAGAGACGAACAGGCAGCCCAAACTCCGTCGAGGGGTTCAAGGTGGACCAGTTGGGGGACATTTGCTGAACATAGCTGTCAACCTTCCCTTTTTTTGCGGGAAATTCCCTTATTACAGTGCTGTTTCCTGCTGCTATCCCGGATTGTTAGATATCCCGTAGACTGTCCCCGGGACAGGTGAGGCTGCTGGTCCCTTATTTTCGAGGCCGCTGATCCCATATTTTCAAATTAGAAAGTTGACAGCTATGTTTCTGAAGCGGGGTCATTTCAAGGCTTGCGCCTCCCGGTCATTTCGGGAAAGGGAAAGGAGGGCTGTCCGGATTGGAAAGCTTGTTATTGGCTAGATAACACAGTGGACTTTCATTTTCTGGGATGTTTTGACGCTTGGGTTCAATGCATCATACGGTTGTCTTTAGTACAGTATTCCTAGCAGTAAGTCCCGCTGAACTCGACAGAGCTGTGTGTGTTTTTTTCCTTTTCACTAAACTAATGAAGTGGTCCTTGGTGGGGAAAATGCCCTGCATCCAGTCAGTGAACTTGTAGAAATTCTGTAGATGTCTTGCTGGGCAGTTTTCAAGCCGAAAAGTTGGGGATATTTGTTTATCTTGCTCCGTTTCCCCTTTCCCTACAACTACTACCCTGTGAGGCAGAACATCTTGGCTCTCTCTTTCTATCATAGGCTTTAATTTTTAAATAAAGTTAAAATTCCAGACAATTTTTTAAAAAACTGCATGCATAACAATACACTAAAGGAATAAAGAAACTGGCTGGTTATAATTCTTAGTCTATCATGCTTGTGGAGACAACAAGAGTGAAACAGCCACGGAAAAGTTGAATTATACAAGTTATTTATACATACATAGAAAAAGCTTGCAGGATTCCATACATAACCTTTTATAATTAGTTTTCTTAATTTTGTATATATTCCTACAAGAGTCTTATGGCATTCGCTTTCTCAGATTACAGTCAGTCAGGTGCATTTTATGAAGCGGACTGTAGTCCATGGGTGTAGCCAAGGTGGGGCAGGGAGGGGGAGTCGCCCCCTAAATAAATAACAATACATAGCTAACGGAGGTTCTGCCCCCCCCAACAAAAGGCCTGCCCCTCTAACAAAATCCTGGCTAAGCCCATGCTGTAGTTCATGAATGCTTATACCATAATAAATTTGTTGGCTTTCAAGGTTCTAAAAAAATCTTCAATGTTTTTGCTGCAACAGATTAACACTGCTACCTTTCTGGAAATTATAACATAGTCCTAAACCATTTTCAGGCATTTGCCTGAAAAGGTGATTAGTAATTGGGGCGGGCAGGAAAGCATGCACAGAAGTCTTACATTCAGAGCTCTGCAAAGTTAGCAATAAAGCTTGAAAAGGGGTTTTAATCACCTTTGGTTGATCACACATAGAAACTCTTCCAGTGAGTGGGAACCTTAGATTATCAGGGTTTCCATTTGTGGGGAGCATTTCTAAGGGCATTCAAGTACACACACTTAAAAACCCTCTTCATTCCTTTACACTGAAGTCCAGCCCAGGGACATTGGGTTTGGATTTGCATGCATCATCATGTCCCCATCCCATTTTACTTATTCTGTACTCCTGGGGAATTTCTAACACTGGCCATATGCAATTGTTCAAGAAGCACGTTATGCAATAATTCATGCTCATTAGGTGCAAAATGACTGTCTTTTCAGTTTTAGCAATTAGAGTTGAAGCTGAGATTGCTTCTGGTCCCTTGACTTCTAGGTCCACTGACAACAGAATTTCTAAAGTTGCCTTCCACAAAGTGAGACCATTGGGCCATCTAGCTCAATGGTACGTCCCAACCCTACCTGGCAATGGCAACAATTGAATGTGTGATCTTCTGCATTCAAAGTGCTCCACCATGGAGCAACAACAGCTCCTCATACTTAAATTTGTTAAGTATCGGGTAATTTTACTACTTCTGTTTTTGGAAACCTGCAGGGTCAATGAACTGAAGACCGGCGCACTAGTAGGCGTTGATAAATATGGAAACAAATACTATGAAGACAAAAGATATTTTTTTGGTAAGTGGATATACTTCAGTAATTTGAATTTAATCTTCTGAAAAAGCTAGGCTAATTTACACTTCTTCAATGTGATTACAATTTAGGCAGCTCTAAGTAATTGTTGGTGCCAAGGAGGAGGATATAACAGTAAGACGTCCTAGTGAGGTGTTGTCACAACAGGAACTTGGATTTATGCTCCTGCTTATAAATATAGCATCTTTTTGCACTGGTACACAGATGTGAAGAAACAGAGAAAGCAGATGGTGTTCAGGGAGTAGTAGTGAGGCTCATCTTTTTGATATCACTATCTTTGCAGACTCATTACTTTGAATATTAAGACCCCTTTTCTAGTCTCAACACTTGGATTGCTAAAATTAATCCGAATAGCAAGGAAGAGAGGCTGCAGTGTCATTGGGTTACTTTGAGGGTTTAGTAATTGGGTTATTTTGAGGGTTTTTATTAAACATTACATTAATGGAAATTAATGTGCACTATCCCACATACGCTTCTTGTCTCTCTGAGGTCCCTTCATGTGTGACCTTTTTCCTTCACAAAAATAATTTTGATGTGGGAAATAACACAGTAACTTGTTAGAGTCAAATGTATTAGATAATTTTGGTTTCCTTCAGACCATATACTCATCACCTTTCTGGTCTACATGATTTAGTAAACTAAGCTCTTCACAAGTGACCACATAGACACTTCATCATCCTACATTGTGTAGGGAAAAAACATGTATGTGAGGTGGTCCCAACGTGGATTCTTATCAACAAAGCCTTACACTGCCTCGGTTTACTCCTTCCATACCTTCTCTCAAACCAGCCCTTTCCCAAAAGTGTATTTGTTAAATGTGAGAATCTTGCAGGCACCGTAATTAAATGTGAGCACAGAATTTTAACTTCACAAAATTTGAATTGGGTGGGGGGGTGAGTACAGACTTTTTTATAACTAATAAAATGTCATAAATCTATGCTTCACTTCTTGGTTCAGTTGAATATAATTTGTAAATGTTTACTTATCTTCATATTTAAGGTCGCCATAGGTGGGTTATATATACTAATGAAATGAATGACAAGAACACATTCTGGGAAATGGATGGAAGCATGGTGCCCCCTGAATGGTAAACCAGCTAGTTTACTGCATGCATTTCTGTGATTATATGTTGTATTAACCTTGTGAAACAGTTAACCTCAAAACGAACCAATTTATCTGAGGCTGACACGCAAAAGCAAGGAAATGAAAATTTAATCCTCTTAACTGTACATCATCCCCTAATCTTCTGCCAGCAAAAGTACTTCACCAGTTCCGGGATAGAGCATAGATCAGGCACCACTCTTCTGTTTGAAAGGGACATTATGGTAAATGCATGCTTTCTGCCTGAAAACTGAAGATGTGCTTAGATGAGGGGTGGCTGATGTGTAGTTGCTTTTGGAGTCTAAACTCCCATCAGCCTCAGCCAGCTTGTCTATAGCCAGGGAAAATTGGTGGTTGTAGTTCAGCACCATCTGGCAGACCACAGGTTGGTCATCGCTAGTCTCCAGGTCACCCCTCTTGCAGTACTACCTAATTTAATGATACACATTATGTTTCACTATGGTGCTGCTCAAGAATTGTATGACCAAAGCCCTACTAGGCATAGACTGCTGGTCATGGCAGTTTTTGAATTGTGCCTGTTAGTATCAGTCTCCATACCACTTTCTCTGCAACAGTCTTGCTGGAATAAGTAGGAGAGTTGTGAAGTGACATTTAAAAGACATATAAGCCACACTTTTTTTCCAAATTCTGACCGTGAAAAGTTAAAGTGCGCCTTAAATTCATGACCTTAGAAAAATTGGCTTTTATGATATTGCTGCTGAAACAGACATACAGTAAAACAGAACCAAAAATGTTTCATTGTTGATTTGCGAACTTGAGACTGTTGATTTGCTATTTACGGGTGTGAGTGCCTGCGGAATTGTAGCAATTGAATACCAATTTGCGATTTTAGCAATTGTACGGTAACTTTTGCGGGCTTGCAAGTTCAAAGGCTTAAATTGGCTCGGAGTTACAGTTCTACCAACCGCAGCGATTTTCAGCCCGTAACCCAATTTTAAGGGAGCGGCTTATAGTCAGGTATTGTCTTTTTTTCTTTCTTCCCCTTGAATTTTAAAGGTGCAGCTTATATTCGAGCCAATACGGTATATTCTGTGTATAGTTGTGAAGTTGGATGTTCACATTCCAAATGAAATATCTTTTATTTGCATTGACGGTGGGGAAGAGGGGTCAGTCCACATGTAGATATCTAGTATGGTCACAAGTAACCTTGTCAAGATGGTTGAACAGTGAGAAACAAACATACTGTAACTGTCCTGGCTTTAGTGACAGCTGAGTTCCTCTGTCATCTCCACCCCAATTAACACAATTGTAAGCTTACTGAAAATGTGTTTTCAGGAAATTGCATTTTTTAACTCGTCAGATATTTGCAGCACTCAAAACAATTGACCTAAATATTATTTTAGTGACTACTTGAATTAGTTGCCCAATGCCAACAACATTCTCACAGTATGCACTAATCTTGTTATACTTGTTACTGTTGGGTCACTTACTATGGGAAAAAGTCATTTATCGAACAGATGGGTCCAGTCTTACAATTATTTCACTCTGCGTATGCTATGAGGATGTTTGGGGAAATATGATGCTTACTTCTAGAGGTGTCAGTGAATGGTAAGGAGGTTGTGTGCATAGTGATAGTGTACTCCTGAGTTGCAGGTAGCCAAATAATAATAATGTAAAATGTGCATGAGAGATTATATGCAGCCTTTTATAGCTCTTGGAACCTGTTGGATCATTTTTAATGGTTTATTTCTTCATGTAGGATTTACATGAAATACACAAAATACATAACATAATAGAAACAAAGCAATAAAACAATTCCCCAGCACATTTTAATGATTGATTAATCAGCCAAAGGCTGGGGAGAAGAGGAATGTTTTGCTTGGTGCCTAAAGATATGTAACGAAGGCAGCAAAAAGCCTCCCTGGGGAGAACATTCCACAAGCAGGGAGCTCCCGCAGAAAAGGCCCGTTCTTGTGATGCTGCCCTCCGGATCCCTTGTGTGGGAAGGCACATGAAGAAGCGTCTCAGATGATGATCACAGGATCTGGGATGGTTCGTGTGGGTAGAGGCATTCCTTGAGGTATTGCGGTCCTGAGCCGTTTGCCCTGGTGAGCAACCTGGCTGCTGAATTCTGCAGTCCTTTAGTTTCTCACTGAACTGCCTTCAGATGCAGCCCCGCATATAAGGCAAGGTAGTAATCTAATCTGGAGGTTACCAGAGCATAGACAACAGAAGTTAGGCTGTCCAGATAGGGGCACAGCTGGGCTACCAGCCAAACCTGATGGAAGGTACTCTGTGCCACTGAGGCCACCTGAGCCTCAAGCAACAGCAGTGGATTCAGAAGTAGCCCCCAAGCTGCATACCTGTTCCTTCAGTGGTAGTATAATCACATCAAGAGCAGGCCAGCCACTATCCATCTGGTCTAGGGAACCACCCATGTACAGTGCGTCAGTCATCTCTGTATTGAGCTTCAGTTTATTGGCTCTCATTTTGTCCATTACTGAGGCAAAACATCAGTCCAGTATATCCACTGCCACACCCGCAGATGTAAAGGGGAAGTAGAGCTGGGTGTCATCAGCATATTGCTTACACTGTACTCCAAAACTTCAGATATTTCACTCAGTGGTTTCATGTAGATGTTAAGCAGTATGGGGGATAACACAGAAGCCTGAGGAACCCTGCAGTGAAGGCTCCATGGGGCCAAACAAAACTCCCCCAGCATCACTCTTTGAAAATGACCATTCAGGTAGGACCAGAACCACCAGAAAGCAGTGCCACCCACCCACAACTCAGACAGCCATTCCAGAAAGCTACCATGTTAAATGGTATCAAAAGCCACTGAGAGGTCAAGGAGAATTAACAGGGACACATCACCCTGTGTGTGCCTCCCCCCCCCCAACAAAGGGCATCATACAGGGTCATCAAAGCAGTTTCTGTGCCAAAACCAGATCTAAACCGCAGTTGAAATGAATCTAGGAAACTGATTGCCTCCAAGAGAGCATTATTGCAAGTAATGCTGTGAAAGGAAGTACTCCCAGAGAGTCCTATTGTAACTTTATTGCATTCAGTAGGATGCATAATGCTGCCAGCTTTTGATAGTACCCATACACTTTGGACAGGGAGGTAATGAGAGCTTGGCTTCAGGTACCACCACCAGCAGCAGCAGCAGCAGCAGCAGCAGTGATTACCCAATTGTAGTTAATGATAGCAGCTATCTTTTTGGTACTACTTGTAGAGTCCAACAAGAAGGACCACCCACATAGTTATAGGAGCACCTCCTGGATCGCCCTTTTGTGTGCCCATGACACAAATGGATTGCACCTGCCTTTGTTCTGTTGGGGCAACAGTCTTTTTTGCGACACCTACTTGTCTGTAGTAGAATACTAATTTTCTGATACTAAATATATCATTTTCTGGCATATTTATTTATTTGATTTATGTCCCACTCTTCTTCCCAAAGGAGTCAAGGGCAGCAAACACATCAGTGATAAAATAATACAATTAAAAATAAAATAAACATCTTAAAAACAGTTAGGAAACATGCTTCTGCAGACAATAAATCTAACAGAATCTTCATGATCAAACTACTTGAAATGTAGCTGTTCAAAATGGTTCATGCGGTGTAACTTTTGTCCATCAAACATGGCTTGCTTTTGAAACTCTGCATATATGCTTCAGGGGCTATTAGGACAACATATTTATCAGTTGTGTGTGTGTGTTGTTGTTGTTTTTCCCCTTTAAGGCATCGTTGGCTTCACTGTATGACAGAAGACCCTCCAACTACACACCCTCCAGTGCCTCGTAAATTCATTTGGGAGAATCATAAAATGAATTTAAGTGGTACTCCTAGACAGTATGTACCATTTTCTACCACCCGTAAGAAGATACAAGAGTGGGTCCCACCTTCTACACCTAGCAAGTGAAAAGAAAGGAATATGGTGATCTGCGAAGCATTAGACCTACAATGTGAACTGTAGCTTTCTTTGGGTTTTTAAAATAAAAGTCTTTGATCAGAAACCTTCTGAAATCAGAAATATTGATGAGAAGAGAACTAGTGAGTAGCAGATGGCAGATTATGCAATAATCTGCAAGACAGCAGTTGTGTATGAAATATCTTTTTGTAGAAGCAAGAGTTTGCATCTTTAAGACCAGAAAATGTACTGTGGCATAAGCTTTTGTTGATAAAAGTCCAACAGATGCAACAACTTATTCCATAATTTGATGACCTTTAACTTCTACATATTAACACAGCTAGCACTCTGATTTTGTTCTGCAGAAGTTTATTAAATCATCCACAGTCCCCCCACCACCACATTATGTTATCTAACTTATGTTAGTATGGATAGTAATGATCCATGATTACGGTATCCTCTCATTATTTGGAACATACAAGTTTTATTTCTGAATAAAGAGAGTGAAAAAAGCTGTTACTATGGCTTCTTACCATATATCATTGATAGGATGATCTTAGGAACATATAAATGTTTCATACTGTGATAAAAATGCAGTGCAGAGTATTGAGAACTGCTGCAAATTATTCATGTCCTTTGAGAGTCAAAAAAGAAGAAACTGCCAAATTTATGAGCAATCAGCTTTCCTTATGCATGTGTTAGTGAAGCTGGTAAGTTTTAGGCATGTGCTACTGACATAGCCCACTTACCACCTGGGGTAGTTTTTGCATCAAAATTGACCAGTGTAATGATTGGCCTTTGCCAGGGTGTACCATAGTGGCTAATAAACTAAGGTAAAAATCAGGTGTGCCTTGAATCTTACCTTACATGAGCTCCCTTTAAAATTCAGTAATAAACTTTTGCACTCAAAAAAAGTATACTCAGTCCTACATCCATCGTGTTCAGTTTTCAGTGCCATGCTCCACAGCTTCTATTTAGGTGTGTGCATGCTAACAATTATCCCTGCACTTAGTTCAGGTCTATTTAAATCTTTCCTGCTCCAAATTACTCTCTGGAGTATTTTGAACTGCTCCTACTGTAATTTAAGGTGCTGATGATCTCACACAGCTAGTATGAAGTTTTCATTGGAAAACCCAAGGATTCTACTGCTAAATGATTTCAACACAAACTCATGTCATCCAGGTGAAAGAATAGACTGAAAGTGGTGCTAGGAGGCAAGGAACACATTTCAAAATGCAGGAAAATATGGAATGGTGGTAGCTATACTGGCCTTGCCAAACAGCTGCAATACCTTGGGATTTCAAAGGCAAGCTTACTTGGGCATCAGCAACTGATGAAACGTATCTTGTGGTTCCAGTGCACAGGCAATTCTTGGCTATAATCACATTTCTCCACTGCAGGGGAGGTCTTTATCCCATGAAGAGAGAACACCACATTAGAGAAAATATCTCATAAAGTGAGAGCAGATATGCAGCTTTCCTCCAAACTGAAGAAAAAAATGCCTGGACATCTTTGTAACTGAACCAGCATAAAAAGTAAATGAAAAAATATATTCCTTTTTTATATAGGGCTGGATCCAAATGTGCTCCATCTGTGAATATAAGGATTTGGAATCTAGCAGAGGATCCCTGCAGGAAGAAGGGGAGGATTTTGCCCATGATATGACCAAAACATTCTACAGAAGCTTTGCAGGGGAGGGAGAAACAGGTGAAAAAGACCTCCCTTTCTCCACTCTCAGCAGAACTCTGCTCATTACAGATCTGTATCCAACCAATAATGATTTTCTAGCACTCTTGGGATATTATTATACATTATCTTAGTAATCCTTGGCACTTCCATGTCAACCAGGACATTACTATCCTGATACTGCAGCAGAGAGAACTGACTTGCCTGAGGCCCTCGACTGAATTCATAAGTGGGTTTTCCTGCTTTCCATTTTTCACACCTCGCTGCTATGGTACATTTCTAATGAGATGATGATGTAAAGTTGCCTTACAGGCTCAAAACCTTATAAAAGTTAAGCAGCGCTCATGTTTTCCCCCCAACAGAAGCTACCAAAAGAAGGTCTTTGGATGGCATAATTAATATTTAAAATACTAAGTATGCTATTTCTTTCCACACATCTAAGAAATGATATCTTTTTCTGCAAATAGTGTCAGGAATAGCAACAGATGAAAGAGAGGTGGGAGGCATGCAGGGAACATGAAGTCAGGGATGGGGGAGACAACATTTAAAGTCATTTAAAAGCCGTGTATCTTTTCCCACTAAGCCTGATGAGTCATCTAATGGGAACTCAAAACTGTTTTCACATCTAATTCTCGTGTCCAGTCCACAGTGATCTGTAATGACTGAAATGGTCCTGATCCATTTGCAACTTTTTCTCCATTCTTCGACTTGCCTTCTGCATACAACCAGTTCTCTAGTTGGACATTTAATTGGATGGAAGTGCATGCATGCCCAAATGTTCACTTAAATACATTTTTTAAATTCTATTATTTTTTGTGTTGCCCTATAACTTACATTCTTTGGAGCCCAAGTGATTTTTCACACTAAGCTTAAGAGTTCTAGTAATCCATCCTTTTTATGGGCTGTTCTACAGTTTAAGCTTTTACCATTTTTTCTGTGCATCTGTACTGACACTGCGGTACTGAACAATGGTTTATTTTTCTCTGTCCAAATGTTCCTTTATTGCGCACAATTTGCATTTAATCACACTGTATAATTAATCACCATAAACCAGGTATGAATGATTCTGCATCTGTTTGCCCAGAACAGCAGAATACTTAAGGCAATAGAGCGGAACAGAAACAGGGTATGTGTGTGTTAACTGCCCTTTAATGTCTTATTACTTTATTGAGTAATGCGCTCATAATAGGTAGATGCAGCGAAAACCTTTTCCAGGATGAAGTCCTATTTCTGCTTTTAGCTCATCCCTCACTTTCAACATCTATATACTTCTCTCTTGAACGGGAGCCCAAAGTACCAGCAGTATGACACTTTCTTCCAAAGTCTTCATACCTTGGCCTTCTGCACCTCCTTCCCTGTGACACCCATTCTGAAATTCAGGACGTATGTGCATGCAATGGAGTTAAGTGCTCATAAGTCACTTCTTGTACTGAAAAACAATTCTCAGTTGCTGATTATGGTTTCAGAAAACAGTTCTACAGAAAAGGGGAGAAATGTGCCCATAGGATTCTGTAAGGAGATTCCTGTATCATCAACTTGGAGGTAAGTGACCATTATTAAATAGAGACTTAGTCCTGGGTCCATCCAAATAACTCCTAGTTTATTACCTATTCGGTTTTTCCATCTTCTAGTCATGAATGTTAATCCATAGTCTGTAGTTCAAAGCATATTGAGGTCATTTTTGATTGATTCCTGTAACAAATTACAAACTTTAATTCTGGGGCCACTGCTCGCTTTTCACATGGATCCTAAAACATGGCAGAATCTTGCTGACACAAGTAAACCTCACTTGTTCCTTGTAGTCACACTTTAACCTTCTGAAAATATTTGCTTTGTCAAAGAGACATACATGTAATTTATTATATCCAGTTTTTCGTTCCATAATGAGACTCAAAGTGAAAAAGAGTTCCTGGCCAGCTACGTATCTAAGTACTAACTGCCCGCAGATCTGCTTAGCTTTAGTCAGCAAAAGCAATACAAGTGTCTGTGGCTCCTTCCACAGGCAATCTTACTTGGTTCTGCTTGAGCCTGCTTTTTATTGCAAATAATATTTTATTTTTTACTTTTTCAATCTGTCACACACAAGTTACCTGACTTGCATATCCAATAATTCTTTCTGTAGACAGGAGTGAGCAGAATGATGATGATGATGATGATGATATTATTATTGTTATTCGTACCCCGCCCAGCCGACTGGATTGCCCCAGCCACTCTGGGTGGTTTGCAACCCATATAAAAACATAATAAGGCACTACACATTAAAAAGCTTCCCTATACAGGGCTGACTTCAGATGTCTTCTAAATGTTATATAGAATGTGACTGGAGAACAAAAGGACTACAATGATGCTGGTTTAGCAGCTGCAGCCTAAATCAGTTTCTTTAGTTTCCCCTCACAACCTCCAAATGCAGCTTTTTCACACTGTGATACAGGACAGGGAAAAGATATATTGCGGGGGCGGGAATCAATGCCCTCAAATTTCAACTTATATTTGCTTTTTGTAAAAGAGTCAACATTAAGCAGCTTCAGACAGCTGGGACTTTGTGACAAACTGACAGGCAGAAGCCAATCAAGCCACTTGTCAGAAGCAGAATTAATTGCCATGATACTGGCCTTTTGGAGGATTCATCCAAGGAGTTCCTGACAGCGCAATCCTAACCATGTCTAGAAGTAAGTCTGATTGAATTCAATGGGACTTACTCCCAGGTCAGCCCAAAGCTTGAGTCCTTGGTCCACTTCCCTGGGAATAAGCCCTATTGAATTCAATAGGACTCTTGAGTAGCTATAATTAAAAAATAGTCCAGTAGCACCTTAGAGACCAACTAAGTTAGTTCTGGGTATAAGCTTTCGTGTGCATGCACACTTCTTCAGATATGGCATCTGAAGAAGTGTTCATGCCCACAAAATCTTATACCCAGAACTAACTTAGTTGGTCTCTAAGGTGCTACTGGACTATTTTTTAATTCGACTGCATCAGACCAACATGGCTACCTACCTGAATCCTGAGTAGCTATAGTTAGGATTGCACTGTGAGCTGTGTTTTGTTCTTTCAAATTCATAGTCATCACAGCACCAGTGGCTCCTACTGACTCTCAAAATGCAAAGGTGTTCACTATAGTATGCTCAGCCTGGTGAGCAATCATGTCATAAATATATAGAGCGAATGAATTAGACCTTGGTTAAAGGAATACTGAATCATCATCTAGCTAGCTGCAGAGAAAGGCAGAGACAGCAAAAGCTAACCACATGATTTATCTGAACATGAGTACATCAGCTCAGATTAAATATAGTTTTAATACCACTCATTTGGGTGTCGTCCTATGCAGAGTCAAACCTAGAAGGAGGCAAGTTCTCCATTTTGCATAACAGAATAGTAGGGCTGTATCAGTGGCATTTTGTTGTCACTGAAATTCACTACCATGCCAGCCAGCTGTCGTCCTGACCTCATGTACAGTGCTAGCAGTAAATGACAGAGAGCATCTGATAGAAGGGGGAAGGTAGACTGAAAGGTAAATGTGGGGAAGTGGTTGCACATGCCTTAATATCAGTTCTGCATTAGTCAATCACATGCTCATAGCTAGAGTGTGTTCTAAAAACAAAGGGGCACAATGGC